CCTTTAATCTCTGGCTCTGGCCGGTACATATGCATCTGGAAAGAGTGCCCTCTCTCTCCTGGGTGCCTGTCCCCCAAAGAACATGCTAGCCAGGTAAAGGGGACACCTCTGTCCTTCTCCCCGGTGGTGTGGGAGGCAGCTGCTGCTGTTTCCTTGCAGTGGTCTTCCTCTCCCATCCGCTGGGCTGTGATTTGACACACTCCCCAGCTTGTCTCTAAGTCTCCCTCTTCATTCAAGTCCTAATGGCAGTGCTCCAGTCAGGCTTGAAGGGGTTCCCACCCTGCCCCAGATTCACACTGACTCTTAAAGGACTTCCCAGCAGATTAGCCCACCCTGCTTGGGTGAGGGGAGGGGGCAGAAATGGGGACAAGGGGTTCTTAGGGGTAGGGGCAGGGTCTCCCCTCTAACTATCTTCCTGTCTGCAGCGCCGGTTCCTGTTCCCATTCTTTGACTCAGCCTATCAGGGCTTTGCCTCCGGCTGCCTGGACAGAGACGCCTGGGCCGTGCGGTACTTTGTCTCTGAGGGCTTCGAACTCTTCTGTGCTCAGTCCTTCTCCAAGAACTTCGGGCTCTACAGTGAGTATCCATCTGGCAGCAGCTAACCCTGCAGCTTGGGCCAGCCTCCCTGGGGGTGGTGGGTGAAGCCTGCCGGGATGTGGGGCACAGGGGCTGGGTCCAGTGGCTCATGTCTCCATGTCTGTCTCCAGATGAGCGAGTGGGGAACCTGAGTGTGGTGGGGAAGGACACTGACAACGTGCAGCGTGTCCTTTCCCAGATGGAGAAGATTGTCCGCACCATCTGGTCCAACCCTCCCTCACAAGGAGCACGTATCGTGGCTACCACCCTCACCTGCCCGCAGCTCTTCGCTGAGTGGTAAGCGGTGCCGGTGCCAAAACGGGGTGTTGAAGGGAGGAGCTGTCATACCGGGGCATGGATAGACATGGCTAAATTCCACTACTGACTCACTCTCTCCCCTGCACAGGAAGGACAATGTGAAGACGATGGCAGACCGGGTCTTGCTAATGCGGTCGGAGCTCAGGGCCCGGCTCCAGGCTCTTGGGACCCCAGGCACCTGGAATCACATCACGGAGCAGATTGGCATGTTCAGTTTCACAGGGCTGAACCGTAAGTATCAATGAACCAGATGCTGTTGCAGCAGGAGGTGAGTTCAGGGGCCTGGAACTGAGTGGGGCTGGGCTGCAGGAACCCAAGCTGGATTCCCTGAAGAACTTCTCCAGTGTCTTTCTGGGGTGCAGTCTTGGGCCTCTGATGGAAAGGTAGTAGGAAAGTCTGGATGGAGAGCAGTCACCTGGCCTGCTCTCTACAGCACCTCCTGCTGGGTCTGGCCAGGACTGGAGTAGCTTAGAGCTCACCCCACAGCCAGTGCCCTGCTGTTCTCTCTACTCGTCTTCTGCTTGGAGAGGCTGGGTTTGGAGTAGCTCTATGCTTTATTTCACTGGCCAGGTCCTGAACCCCTTCTCTCCATTCTGAAAGCCGATGAGATGCAGCACTGACCTGCGCTCTGGGATTTCCAGGTCTCCCACATGGCTGACCTGACTTCTCTTGAATGTTTCCCCAGCTAAGCAAGTGGAGTACATGATCAAGGAGAAGCACATCTACCTGATGGCCAGTGGACGCATCAACATGTGCGGCCTGACCACCAAGAACCTGGACTATGTGGCCAGCTCCATCCACGAAGCTGTCACCAAGTTCCAGTGAAGAACACAAACCCCTGAACTCCCATCTGAACCCACCAAAGCAGTAGTGTGTAGTCTCTGTTCCCTGCTCATAACTCACCTCCATCACACCTGTTAGGGTTTAATAAGGATGGGGAACAGTGGCTGTATCAGGGATATCAGTCTGCCTGCATCTCTGAAAGCCCACTTATAATACAGGCCAGTGCCCTCCTGGGGCTGGTGGCAAAGTAAGCCATCTTGTCGCTCATTTGGCTGACAGCAGCCGTATGCGCTGGGACCCAGACATCTCAAAGCTGCCTATTTCTGTGCAACCAAATAGACCCAGTATAACCAAAATGGTTTGGCCCAGTCAACTCCTGTACAGGTGTGGTGCATTGTGGGATAGGTGCCCAAATTCATGGGCCCTCTTGTCCTGTCTGTGGGTTGGAGGCACTGTAACATTTCAGGGAGTGAGCCTGTTGTTGGCTTTCGCCTCACGTGAGCAAAGAGTGATTGTTTCTTTGTGTCGCTGCTTCTTTATGTTGCTGAAAGAAAATAAACCTCCATCTCCGAAGGATGCCCTGCTGGGTGCTTGTCCTGCTGGCTGTGATCTGTGTCTGCATTGCTGGGTAACTCCCTAAACTGGCATTGACATGCTGCTGGCAGAGGGAAGATGGGACATGACCTTGCGTGGCCAGACTCTTAACTATTGCAGTAGGCTCCAGCCTTGGAGTGCTGAACTGCTGGGGAGGGGACGGGGGGGACCCCCCTGCCCCTCCTTCCCCCCCCCCCCCCAAGCACTCGCAGCCCTCCCTCCCAGGTCCACAATAAAAGCCCTATGACCTAAGGCTTCGTCTTATTTTAAAGAAGAGACTTGTCCAGAGGTTCATTCTTTGATGGCGTCTCATGGCTACTTTCCCTTCCCATTTACCATCGCATCTAGGAAAGTTCTGATGAATCCAAAGGGTGTCCTTGAATAACTAATCAATTCGCTCCCCATGTATCGCTTCTGTTTCTTTGCCTGGCTTTCCTCCGCCTGTGTATATGCATGTTTCCCACTTGGTGAGATGTTGCCCAGACATCTGATCATCTCCTTCATAGGGGCCTTCTTCTCTGGATCATAGCCCCTGTCCCACAGGTGGTTCCATTCCTCGGAGTCGATCCTATTTCTTCTCCTGCAGCAGTTGCTGCTGGAGGCCCATGGGCTGCATCCTCCTCACTACAGGCATCTGGGCACTACGCCATGGAGAACCAAGACTCCTGTAGAAGCAGTGGGAGAGGAGGAGAGCTAGGACCATCCAGCAAACCATTTCTCTGCACATAGCCAGCCAGGGCTCTGTGGACCAGTTTAGGAAATGTGGATGTAGCCCCTGTTTGAACAGATCTTTGTTCAGAGCAGCGTGACCTATCTGCTCTTTCCTATTGCAGCAGAAGGTCAGGTCTGAAGTTTAGTCACTCTGCTGGGTTAAGCTCACTTTGTAGAGTGGCATTTGTAAGTGTTGCGCTGCTTCACAGCACCAAATCCACACTAGTGCTAGAAAGGGCATGAGTGGGGGTGTGTGCAAGAGGGGTAGCAGGGATGCACTGTCTAGCTGTAGTTGCTGAAGCACAGGAGTGGGAATTGGACAGCCGTGCTGTGACCCTTGGCAAGTCACTTAACCTCTGTACCTCTTCCCCATCTGTGAAAGGGAAAGGAATCCTTCCCTTCAAAGGGAAAGTGCTGTTGAGTGCAGTGCGAAATGCACCCTTTCCTGTATCATAGCTTGTGGTTGTGCCACAGGATGTGTGCAGAGGGGCCTTTCCTTGGAGGCTCCTGTCCTATGCATGACTCCTCGTTTTCCTCACCCCAAAACTCTGCTGAGCCAGAGCAATAGAATCTCTCCCATGGCTCCGTTCAGAACTCAAACTGCTGCACTGATTTGGGCCAAATGTGGCTCATCTTGGAGATTTCAGGGAGACTGAAGGGTGGCTGGAACTTCCTCCAACCCTGTGTATTTCCCCTGGAGGCTGCCTGTAGCCTTATCTCGGCTTTAGCTCCAGCAGTGGGAGCAAGGGAGGGAGAAGACCAGGAAGATGCCCTGTGTAGGTACAGCCCCTACTGCCATGCAAGTGTCCCTTCCCCCTATCGTTCGTGAGGCATGCGTGAGTGGAAGGAAGCAGGGGCCTGTGCAGCCAGGCCTGCAGGGATCTCTCGCCAGGGCATGAGGGCAGCAGTGCCTGGAAGCTCATACTGCTTCCATTTGCCTTCTAGACCCATCACATTTTGCTTCTCTTATGTCTGCGAAAGCCACGAAATTAATCACTTACAGCCTTTCTTGGCCACAGCACTGGCAAATCGGTTCTTCGCCCAGTCCTCCGTGTGACATTAAGAGGATGGAGTAGCTACGTCTCCAGCTCTACACAGTGCTTTAGAGATGGCCACACTCTCACTACACCGTTAATGTTTAGTCCTGCAGAGCCCCCCCTGAGAAAAGGGCTTTCTCCAGCTTATGCTGGGCCACGCTCTGACTCGGAGCTTTAAATGCCCCCCCCAGGGAGGTGGTAGCAGAACCCAGGCAGCCTGACACCCTCTCCTGTGTGTCAATCAGGTGATGGTCTTGCTCAGCGTGGGGAGGACGTGTGTCTAGTGCTTAGAGCTCAGGGCTGGACCTCCAGCAGTCTGCTCTCTACCTGCCTGTGTGTGGCCCTGGGTAAGTCTCCCTGCTCCAGGGCTACCTCCCCCCCTTACAGAGAGAAAAGCTTTAAATACAGCCTTCCCCTGAGTGCAGGCAGCATGAGTCGCTTGCATCACGGCAGCCCTGGGGGGAGGGTTGTGAAATGCTGGTGAGCTCTGCAGGAGGGTGCCAAAGTGCTACAGCTAGTAGGAGCGAGGGCAGGGTGGCAGTGGGTGTGGTGCAAGGGGCTGGCACTTAGAAAGGGAAACCTGAGGCTGAATGTGAGGTCAGGCTGCTTGCCGGGCAATATGACTGCACTAGTCTCCTGGGGAAGGGGGAATCTGCCCCCCAGGCTGGCAGCAGCTCTGAAGCTAGCAGGCTTGGCGCTAAGGGGGCTGTTTTGGGGAGAGGGGATTAGGATGCAGCTTGTTCTGCTGCAGGCAGAGGGGGCTCTCAGGCTGTCCACTCTGCAGGCAGAGGTTGCTTTCCCCTTCCCGCTGGTAACTGCACGGGGGAGCTGCGGGGGGAACGGAGCAGCTGTGCCATGCAGCAGCGATTTCCCCCCCCCCATCTCTGTGGGGAGGAGAACCTGGCACAATTCAGGCCTTTAAACAGCAGCTTCTCGTGCGCTGGCCCAGACAGAGGCAGAGCTGCTCAGGGAGGGATGGCTTTTAATGTAAAGGATCTACATTGCATTCAGCCTCCATAGCCGCGATTTAAAACTCTGTAACATTCTGATGCCACCATGTGGCTCTGAGCTGAGGCCTGTCGCAGGGCCATGGTGGTTGAAGCGCAGCTCTGAGCGTCCCTTTCCCTGGGTGGGGGGACGGATATACTCGGCGCTGGGCGGGGCCTGAGGCCCACACCTGGCCAGTGCCTGTGGGATGGGCAGTTCACTGCTCCCGGGGGGACAGACTGAAGTGCGAGGGCAGGTTTTGACTGTCACTGCACAAACGTGCAGGGGCCTCCTGAGTGTCACACTGTGTGTGGTGGGAGGGGATGGGCATTGCCCGGAGCATGGCGCTCCTTGGGGCAGGAGCCACATCTCGTTATGGCTGCAGCGCCCAGTGCTATGGGGCCCTGACTCAAAAGGGGCTGGGAGCTGCTGTAAAGTATGAAATGATGCTCTGGGCAGCCTGAGCTGGGCCGCCTCTCCCTGCTTCTTGCTGCAGGGGAACCACGCCCCAGGCACTGCCACTTCTGTCTTTCTCTTCTTCTCCTCTTTGAGACGGAACGCCTGGCAGCAGCCGGCCACGGGCCCTGGCTTCCTGGCAAGTCTAGGGCTGCCGCCTCTGCTTCAGTCCCAGCTGGGGGCCTTGCCTTTCTCGCCTGGGGCTCTACGCACATCCTGGAGGGAGGGCAGGTGTTGGGTGGGCAGGCAGCGGCGTGCAGACCCGCTGCTGTCGCACACGACGCGCGCAGGAGGCTCTCATGCTGCAGACCTGAAAGAAAAGCAGCTGTTTAATGCTCGTCGTTCCCGCTCCCTGCTCTCCAGAGCCCCCCGGGCCTCCCTCCCCCACAGTGCCCCCTCTCCCCCCGAGCCAGGCTGCAGGGTGTTAAGTCTCAGGGCTGGGCTCGGGGCCTGCATGCAGCAGCTTGGGGACTCCCTAAACAAGGACATGCCAGGAGCCCACACAGGTTGCACCTGCTAATTCCATTGAGCAGCCTGGCTGAGAGCAGCTTTCCAGAGGGGCAGACACGGGTTTTGAAAGCATTATGGACGTGTCCCTGTTGGGGGGGCTGTGGGGGGGATGGGACTGCAGCCTCTCTACCCCTCCCCCCCATGGAACCGGCGCCGAAAGACTCACTGGCCTGAACAGCCCCGACAGGTTCAACGCACCGCCCGGTCTCCTGTGCCGCTTTGGAGACAACACCCAGCGCCTGGACAGACAAGCTACAGCCCTGCCAGGCTCAGGCAAGGGACAGGCAGGGCTTGCTGCACCCAGCAGCCAGGTGTTCGCCTGCTCAGTGCAGGAGGGCAGAAAGCCCCAGCCCTGTAGGGGGGGTGGGGGTGGGGGCGGGGGTTTGATGGCAGCCCCTGACCAGCTTTCCAGGCCCCGCAGCGTGTGCTCAGAGCAGAGCAAGGGTGTCCCCCAGTGCCTGGGGCAGGCCGTGCGGGGTGGTGGTGGTGTCTCTTTCCAGCAGCAGTATTGAGGGGTATGTTCACACCTCCAGGCTACATGGGACTCCAGCGCCGCGCTCCAGCCACGCTGCCGCTCAGGTGATTAACGGCGCTCGGTTGGAATTCTCCTCCGGCGTCGTCTCGCCATCTGGGGACTGCCTCCTCTTCCGCCCACCTGCAAACAGCAGCCAGCCTGGGATCAGTGCCCCGTGGGTCCCCAGACAGCGCTGTCCCACCCTGGGGATGCTGCATTAGGGGGAGGGGACAGCCCAGGCCCTTCATAGCACCTGGAGGCTGCTAGGTACTAGGCGCTAGTGGAGCCAGTTCCCCCAATGCTAGAGGGGGGGTGCTATTGCAGGGTGCAGTACCGCCTGCTGCCACCAGGGAAGGTGGAGGGCTGGGCTCCCTGAGGCTGCTCCATCGACCCCAGTGCTTGTCCAGGGCCAGCAACAAGCAGCGTAACGGGAAGGGAGGGACCCCAGGGGCTGGGCTGGCAGATCTGAGCCTAGGTGAAGGGGGGCAGTCGTAGAGGAGGCTCCTTTCCCTTCCCATCTCCCCATTCGGGCCCCAGGTTTTCACTCAATGTTAGTTGTTGAGTGCGGAACTCGTACCTGCAGCCTCACTGCTGTTTTGGGCCCCAGCTGTCTGCCCTGCACTGTATGTGCCCCCCCACACCACTGGGGGCTGTGTGCCTGTCTGGGCTCCCACGTTCTCCCCCTCTGCCCTGCTGCCCCTCCCCTGGGGCTGGCTGGGTGCTTCACTCACTCAGTGTCCTCAGCAGCTTCTTGCCCAGGGTCTCCTCGGTGCCGCTCGCTGTCTCTCTGTTCGGGCTCTCCGGCTCCAGGGTGATGTCACAGCATTCGCTGGCTGCAAAGGAGGAAGGTAAGAGCAGTGCTATCTCCAGGCAGGGCTCTCTGGAGCATCTTGGGCGCCCGATGGGTGCGTCCTCCAATTCCCCCCCACCCTCCAGTGCAGCCACCCCTTCCAATACGCTAGTGGGGGCACATCCGTCCCAGGGGCCAGATCCCACCCCGGGGACTTACCCTGCCGCTTGCTGTTCTCCTCGTTGTCTGCCAGTTCCTCCCTGATGAAGGGGATTCCCTCCACGCGGAGGAACATGGAGTCGTTGGGGCTGCGGAGCCCGTCTGACCGGCTGCCTGTGGGAGACACCCCCGTCCCCGGCGCGGGGAGGGGACGTGTGTCAGTGTGAGCGTCGGGGCCCAGGGGTGAATACGTGCCACGGGCCAGGCCCCGAGCGTGAAGGGATGTGTGTGTGCAGCTGGTGGCGTCAGGGTCTGATGGGTGCTAGGGAGTGTCGGAGGCTTGTGGGGAGTGGCTTGCCTGTGGGACTGGCTGTCAGGCGGCCATGGGGTGACTTACAAATGATGCTGTTCCTCTCGTTCAGGAGGGTGGGGGTGGGGTCCTCCTTCGGGGTCTGTGGGGTCCCCCGGGCCGTCGGGGCCTTGGTGGAGTTGCCATCATTGAACGCCTCCATGTCGGGGGACTGGGGTGAGCTGTCCATGCGGCTGGCTGCCAGTGCGTTCTGGTACTGCTGCCGGGTGATCTGGCACAGGACAGACAAGCAAGCTCAGCTGGGCGAGTTCAGGGCAGCGGGGTGTGAGCTGAGCTTCCAGGGGCATGGCCAGCTGCCTGGCTCCAAGTCCTTGGGGGAGCAACACTGCCTGCCTGCTGGGGGTGACGTTCACCTCTGTGTGGGGACAGCATCCAACCATGCCCCACTGATGTCCTACTTAATCCTTGTTTTGGAGACTTCAGTGGTGCCTAGGCCTTACGGCTCATCCCGGCACCGGGGGAAGTTCACACTGACACAGCAAATAGCTCTAGACCACATGATGCCCTGGCCCCTCTACCTGGGGGAGCAGCTGCTCCCCACCTGGTTATTTATCGTAGGGCTATTTACTGCGTAAAGGCACTGGGTGCGCTAGGCAGAGCCTGCAGAGGGAGGGGCCTGTGTAGGCGTGGCTGATAGAGACAACTCAGTGCTTGCATTGCCAAACGCAGCACGAGCCAGCTCTGGAAAGCCGTCGAGCTGGGCCCAGCGCCCAGGGGCAGCACTATTAGCTGGCTGGAAAGGCCCCTTTGCACCTCCTGATGGGGCAGCTGGACTCCCACCAGCGCCCTGCTTCTGTTCCTTTCCATCACTTGCTGTTTGTTCAGCGCCCTGCGGAGTCAGCGGGGGGAGGGAAGGTTGTGACACAGACATGCCCAGGCAGGTGTATTATTCCTGTGTTCGACCATCCTCCCAATATTTCACTGAAAGGGGTCGTGGGTGGTCTCTGCCAAAAGCCAAGAACTCACTGGCTAGTGTGGTTATTGGCGGATGCTTGTACACACAACATTTTTAGAGTTATGTGACAGGTAGAAAATTATATTTAAAAAGGCGACCTGAACACAGAGCTAGATTGGCCTGGGGGGACATGGACAGTTACACTAGGGTCATAGGAGGAACAAGAGTGAAATCAGTGGGGGAATTTGCTCAATAGCTTAGCTGTCTATACACAAATTCAAGGAGTACGGGGAATAAACAGGAAGAACTGGAAGTATTAGTACATAAGCTTAATTGGCATCACAGAGACTTGGTGGGATAAATCTGCTGACTGGAATATTGCTATAGCAGGGTACAGCTTGTTCAGAAAGGTCAGTCGGGAAAAAGGGAGGAGGTGTTGCATTGTACATCAAGAATATATACGCTTGTTCTGAGGACCACAAGGAGGTGAGTGTCAGACCAGTTGAAAATCTCTGGGTAAAGATAAAAGGGGGGAAAATAGAGGTGATGTCATGGTAGGTGTCTACTATAGACCACCAAATCAGGAAAAGGAGGTGGATGAAGCATTTCTAGAATAATAGAAATATCCAAAACACACAACGCGGTAGTAATGGGGGACTCTAACTTCCCAGACATCTGTTGGAAAAGTCATATGGCAAAACACAAAATTTACAATAAGTTCTTGGAATGTGTTGAGGACAACTTCTTGTTCCAGCAGGTGGAGGAAGTAAATAAGTGGGCAGCCATTTTAGACTTGATTCTGACCAACAGGATGGAATTGGTTGCGAATCTGAAGGTGGACGGCAATTTGGGTGAAGGTGTCATGAAATGAGAGATTTCATGATTCTAAGGAAAGGAAAGAGTGAGCGCAGCAGAATAAGGACAATAGACTTCAAAAAAGCAAATTTTAACAAACTCAGAGAACAGGTAGGTTAGGTCTCATGGGAAGCAAGTCTAAGGGGAAAAACAATTGAAGACAGTTGGCAGTTTCTCAATGAGACAATATTAAAGGCAGAACTGCAAACTATCCCAATGCAAAGAAAAGACAGGAAGAATAGTAAGAGGCCAATATGGCTCCATCAGGAGTTATTTAATGATCTGAAAATCAAAAAGGAATCCTACAAAAGGCGGAAACATGGATGAATTGCTAAGGATGAGTATACAAGAATAGCACAAGCACATGAGGACAAAGTCAGAAAGGCCAAGGCACAGAATGAGTTACACCTAGCAAGGGACATAAAAGGCAATAAGAAGAGGTTCCTTAAATACATTTGAAGCAAGAGAAAGATGAAGGAAAGTGTAGGTCCGCTGCTCAATGGGGAAGGAGAGCTAATAACAGATGACATCAAGGAGGCTGAGGTGTTTAATGCCTATTTTGATTCAGTCTTCACTAAAAAGGTTAATGGTGTCCAGATGCTCAACACAATTGATACTAACAACAAGGGGGAAGGAACACAAGCCAAAATAAGGGAAGAACAGGCTAAAGGATATTTTGGTAAGCTAGATGCATTCAGTTTGGCAGGGCCTGATGAAATTCATCCTAGGGTTCTTCAGGAACGAGCTGAAACAATCTTGGAGCCATTAGCAATGATCTTTGAGAATTCCTGGAGGATCGTGACACCCCAGAAGATTGAAGAAGGGTAACAATAATACCTCTATTTAAAAAAGGAGACCAAAGACGACCTGGGGAATTATAGAGCAGGCAACCTAATTTTGATACCTCAAAAGACTCTGGAACAAATTATTAAACAATTTGTAAACACCTAGAGGCTAATGGGGTTATGAGGAATAACCAGCATGGATTTGTCAAGAACAAATCATGCCAAACCAACCTAATTTCCTTCGTTGACAGGGTTCCTGACCTAGTAGATAGAGGTGAGCAGTAGGTGTGATATATCTTGGTTTTAGTAAGGTTTTTGATACAGTTCCTCATGACATTCTCATACACAAACTAGGAAAATGTGGTCTAGACGAAATTACTAGAAGCTGGGTGCTTAATTGGTTGAAAGACCATACTTGAAGAGTAGTTATCAATGGTTTGCTGTCAAACTGGGAGGGCATATCCAGTGGGGTCCTGCAGGGTCAGTCCTAAGACTGGCACTATTCAGTATTTTCATGAAGAACTTGGATAATGGAGTGGAGAGTTTGCTTTTAAAATTAGTGGACAACACCAAGTTGGGAGGGGTTGCGTGCAACACCTGGGGGGGAGGGGGCAGAAATAGAATTGGTCTGAACTCAGTAATATGACATTCAATAAAGACAAGTGCAAAGTACTACACTAAGGAAGGAAAAATCAAATGTACAACCACAAAATGAGGACTGACTGGGTAGGTGGCAGTGCTGCTGGAAAGGATCCGGGGGTTAGAGTGGATCACAGTTTGAGTAGGAGTCAACAGAGTCATACAGTTGTGAAAAAGGTGACTACAATTCTGGGGTGTATTAACAGGAGTGTCGTATGTAAGACACGGGAGGTCAACGTCCTGCTCTTCTAGGCATTGGTGAGGCTTCAGCTGGATTCTGTGTCTAAAGGCTTGTCTTCGCAGTGGGTGTTGGTTTAGCAGGTCTAATGAAGGCCCACTAAATCGACGGCAGAGCGCTCTCTGGTCGACCCCGGTACTCCAGCTCCCCGAGAAGGGTAAGGGACGTTGACCGGAGAGCGTCTCCTGTGGACGCAGTGCAGTAAGCAGCGTAACTTAGGTTGACTTACCCCGGTAGTGAAGACAAGCCCTAATTCTGGGCACCACACGTTAGGAAAGATGTGGGCAAACTGGAGAAAGTCCAGAGGGGAGCAGCAACACTGATAAAAGTTTAGAAAACCAGACCTATGGGGAAAGGGTAAAAAAACTGGGCATGTTTAGTTTTGAGAAAGGAAAATGAGGGGGGACGTGATAATAGTCTTAAAAACTGTTAAGGGCTGTTCTACAGAGGACGGGGATCAATTGCTACACTCCAGAATAGGCTTCTAAGGCAGGCTGTGGCATCCCGGTCATTGGAGGTTTTTAAGAACAGGTTGGGCAAACACCTGCCAGGGAGATTCTAGGTTAACATGGTCCTGCTCCCGCACAGGGGGCTAGAATAGTTGACCTCTCGAGGTCCCTTCAGGCCCTACATTTCCATGATTCTATGATTATGCTCCAAACCCTTTGTTGGAGGTGAAGCGTGATCACCGGAGGTGAGGCGGGTGTCAACGCACTCAAGAATAAGATCAACATCTTTCAACCCAGCCCAACCCTGCATTTGCAGTCTGGACCAGATGCAGTCTGGAGCATTTTCAAAGACAAAAGAACCCCAAGAAAAGACTCTGCCTAGGGCCCTCAGGGCTGAGCTGGAGCTGATGAAACGCCCTGGTTCTGAAAAGGGACAAAGTCTGGGACTCTGTAAGAGAAGACAAAATGGCCCAAGATGTTCTCCGTTACAGAGTCGATGCTCTGCCAGCAGGAGCGTCTCATGAAAAGTGGCTCCCAGCTCTCTGGACTGGACAGCGCTGTATGGACCGAGCACTGGGTGAGAAATCCCTTAAGAAAGGAACTGGTTAATAAGTAGAGGTTATAGATTGCTGTCATGGGGTATAGGCCTCAGGTGGGCCTCGCAACCACGGAGTTAATGCAGGACCCACTGGCCAGGCTGATTGGCAGCCTGACCACAGATGGGGGGATAAAAGAGCCTAGAAGCAGGGGGTGGGGGCTGCCAGAGGAGCAAGAGGGGGCTGCCAGCGAGCTGGTGAGAAGCCACCCCAGAGTGGCCAGAGCCACAGGCTGCAGCAGCCGACAGCCCCAGGGAGCTGGGGCAGGAGAATTGTGGAGGACTGGTTCTGCCTGCCTCGATTAAGGGCCCTGAGCTGGACCCAGTGGAGTGGGTGAACCTGGGTTTCCTTACCCACCCCCTTACAAAGCAAAGGGGTTCCAGGTCTCGTGAGGACAAGGGCTGGCTAGCCCCTGTCAAACATAAGGGGTGCCCCATATGCCCCAGTGGGGCAGAAATTAATGTCCTTGTCTCCACGATAGGTTGAGAGAGATTCAGACAAGGACAGACTGACGGCCCTGCCGATCCAAGCAGACTCTGCGCAATGCCCTGTCTGGCCTACGGGGGGCGCTGACACATGGGGTACCAGGCCACCATTGCATTTTATGTTTGTCTTTTACCTGTCACCTGGTGTTTCTAATAGTTTAACTTGCTTTTGTTCGAATCCTTATCTCAAACCTGGTTCAATACACTTCGGTTTGGTTTGTGCTAAGGAGAGCGAGCTGAGCTGCTTCGGGGGAGGCAGCGGATGGGTGCACAGTGCGGGGGCCCAGACAACAAGGGGCTGGGCGCTCCAATGTGACAAGCTGGGGTGTAAATTATTCGCCCGTGGAGGGAGCGAGCGGGGCTCAGGTAGCTGGGAGTGCAGCGCGCATGTTGCCTGCAGCCGGTACCTTTGGGAGAACGCCCCCTGCTGGGCACAGCCACGGCTCCCTCATGCTGGGGCCAAGTGGCAGCAATTCACCCAGACACCCCGAAAAGCATCAGCGAGGTCCCCCGGCCCTGCGGCTACCTTGACGAACTGCACGTCGCAGAGGATGCGCACAGAGTAGTCGGGCGTGTAGATGTTGTTGCTGCTGCTGTAGAGCTGGGTGTTGCTGTCCCCGTAGTCGTTGCGTTCCCGGCTTGGGGATTCGGAGCGATTCAGCCCGCTGCAGCGAGATGGCGATTGGTTTACTAGAGGTGGGGAGGGGAACAGAGATGGAGGCAGAGTGTGAGAGCTCTCTAGCACCAGGACAATGCCCACGCTAAGGTGCCAGAGACACACCCCAGAGGCTTTCTACAGCTCCTGCCTGGCTGGGAGTCTCCCCCTCTGGGCTGATGCTCTGACAGATGGGGTCACTGGTGTCTTTGCTTCTCTCCAGACCACAGTGACCCTCTCCATCCTCTCCCTGCAAGAGGAAGCAGTGCAGAGCCTGGCCTCCTGTGCTGCAGAGGAAAAAGGCCTCTGAGTATCTGCTTACACAAGAAGCTAAAGGCCAGGTGTGGCTGACTGAGCTGTCTTCCGGGGTTGGAACGGGCAGCGCCATGCAGAGAGCAGGGTGCTGAGCAGAAGGTGCCGAGAGTGGAGGCCATGCAGGTGAAGGTGGGGGGATATTGCTCCTTAGGCCTCACCCACCCTTCACCCCTCCGCCAGCAGCACTCGCAGCTCCCCAGCACAGCACAGCACGTTTCTAGGTTAGCACAGGGACCCGGAGAGGGGAGATGTGAGTATTTGGGAAGAGAACCCCCAGGAGGGGCAGTCAGGCATCACAGCTGTTCAGCCTGGCAGGCGCAGGTTTATTCTCTCCCATGTGGGGCCTGCCGTCTGGGGGGGCTGGGGCAGTCGCTCGCTCTCGGACGTGCTCACAGGTACAGTTGTTAAAGTACAGAATCTTATAAAGGTGACAAGAGACGGGCCGTCAGAATGCAAATGAGTGTGGGGGCTCGGAACGTAGAACAGGAAGGGATTGCCTAGGTCATGGAGTCCCGTCCCTGCTGTCAGGCCATCCCATCCATAAGCACGTCAGGATCCCACTTAAAACTGGTTAGGTTGTTTGCCCACTTGCTCCTATTAATAGGCTGTTCCAGAACGGCAGCCTGTCAGTTATATTGACTGACAGCCTTCACACCCAATGGAGAGCTGTGCTTAAGGCCCCTGGCAGTCCCTTTGCTCTAATGCAGTGAGAGCTGATGCTCATTGCTCCCAGTGTTGTTTGGTACAAATTACATTTACCCCCACAATCCCCTGCAGCGGTCCGGGGGGAGGGTTATAAATGGCGTCTGACACTGGGGCAGACACTGCAGAGCAGGGCCTCCTGTCAGTCATGTTAATTGACAGCCGCTGACATGCAGCATGATGGATTCAAAGTGGTCAGTGGATTTATTAGTGAACAAAGGCAGCTTGTTCGCGGCACTGCTGATGTAAATGTCTCTCTGACCTTCGCTCTTTTGGTACAACTACCCTTTTATTCCTGTAATTCCCAGAAAGGAAACTGCTTGGCCATAGAGTGTATCCATGACTGGCAGGTATAGGGACGTACAGGAGCAGCAATCAGCCAAAAACAGCCAGGAAATGAAATTTATAAAAACCCAAACATAACCCAGGACCCACGCCCCCAGGATCCCTAATGCTGTGCCTAATTCGCTCCAGTCTGCCTCTGTCCTACACTCCGCCTGCCTGTCTGCTGGCTCCTAGCCCTTCGGGGTCGGCTTTTAGCACTAGCAACTCCCCCCCACAGAGTCACCAGTGCCCCAGCAGTGTGTGTCGAGCACACTACTGCGGTACTAACACGCGTGCACGTGCGGGGGCAGTAGTGCGCCCGCCAGCCCCTCCCTGCATTTACGTGCAGAGCAGGTAACTGCACAGGGCCGCTCCTGGGCCCCCAGGGCCTGGCTGCCACAAGGGCAGGTCGCTGGCAGCGGCTCCGCCCATTTTGCCCTTCTTTTGAAGGTGCGTCTCTGTTGGTGCAGAATCTTCTACAGCATGTGCCCCTCTGTTTGTGCATGTGCGCCGTCTCATAGCTGGGCGTGCCCCTCTGTTTGTGCATGTGCGCCGTCCCATAGCTGGGCGTGCCCCTCTGTTCGTGCATGTGCGGCGTCCCATCGCTGGGCGTGCCGCTCTGTTCGTGCAGTTTCACACACTGGGCACTTCTGCACTGTTCCTGTGCAGCCTGCTGCAGCGTGCCCTCCCCTCGATGTACCGAATGGCACGGCGGGGGCGCACCTAGGCCACACGTGCAGAGCCAGCCACTGTGCAGTCGTGCACATGCAGAGGTTTCCTTTCCCAAAGGCCGGTGTGGGAAAGCCATGCAGTTACCTGGGGAGCCAGCCAGGGATTCCCCTCTGCTGACGGCGAAGGTACGGGACACTGAGACGGGCACTATGGAGAGAGTGAGGGGTCAGGCCGGAATGACCAGGCAGGGATGGGGAGAAGAGATGAAGAGGAAAGAAATACAAGAGACTGAATGAGACAGGAGAGAAGTCAGGGCTGTAACCGACCCGCATTCCCTGACTCGCTGGGGAGCAGCCCCAGCCCTACTCTGCAGCCACCTGCAGAGCCGCTCCCCGTGGCCTGCCCTCTCTGCAGCTGCAGATGGCTTGTGGTGGCTGAAGGGTCCATTAGACAGTATCCCAGAGCTTCTCTTGGGGTCCCAAGGCCACAGATCCTGGCACCACCATCTGGGTGGGGTGGGAACGCCCCCTGTCCTGCACTAACAGTGATACTGGGCCCAGGATGAGGCCCATGCACCTGCGTCTTCACTGGTGTCGGTGAGGCACTCAGAATGGAATAACACAAAGCATTCTGGGAAACCCGCAAGGCCTCCGTGTCAGAGTAGAATCAATAATGAGGCCAGGTGGCACTAACTCCTCCATGGCCTTGTCTACACGGGACTGTTATGTATGAGCCCAGGTGTGACTTTACACTGGAATAGCGCCCCTGTGCCAGTGTGGATGCTCTTACTGCAGGATGATAGGTGCCAACTCCGTGGGTGCTCCAGCACCCACAGGGAAAAAGCAGCCTCCCCCCCTCCCCACCCAGTGCCTCCTGCCCGCTGGCAGGTCTCACGGATCAGTACCTCCCCCGCTCCCCCCAGTGCCTCCCGCCTGCTGCAATCAGCTGTTTCATGGTGTGCAGGAGGCTGGAGGAGTGGGGACCGTGTGCATTTGGGGGAGGCGGAGGAACTGGGTGGGAAGGGGCGGGGGCAGGAAGAGGCAGGGTGTGGGTAGGGCCTTGGGGGAAGGGCAGGAGTGGGGGTGGGGCCTGGGGCAGAGCCGGGGTTTGAGCACCCCCTGGCACGTTGGAAAGTCGGCACCTATGCCAGGAGCCCTTTTCGGTTTAGCTTATGTTGCTTGAGTAGGGGTTTACCAGAATCCAGGTGTCCACCCAGGGGTGCTACTGGTCTAAAGACTGTATTATCATGTGTTACTTGGGGTATGTCTACACTGCGAAGTTGTCAACAAAACTTTTGTCTTTTACAGGTACTTAAAAAAGCCCCCCCGCGAAAGACAAAAGTTTTGCCGACACAAGCGGCAGTGTGAATGCGGCTTTGTCGGCAGGAGCGCTCTCCTGCCGACAAAGCGAACACTGCTCGCGGGGCTGGAAGTATTTTGTCGGCAAAAGTGCCGACAAAGAGCATTTACACACGCTGAGTTTTAGCAACAAGGCTGTGTCGACACAGCTTTGTCGCTAAAAGTTGCGTGGTGTAGACAAGCCCTTGTATTACCCTAGTGCCTAAGCGCCCCAGGCATGGCCCAGGCCCTCACAGTGCTGGGCGCTGCACAAACACAGAACAAAAGGACAATCCCTTCCACCTGGAGCTCTCAATCCAAGTCGGAGACAACAGCTGGCTGCAGGCAGACGGAGACGTACGAGGAAGCAATGAGCCAGGACTGGTCTCAGCACCTAACCCTTGTCAAGATTTGTGTAGGCGTCCCAGCACAGGAGAGTTTGCAGGAGGCCAGTGAGGTGGTTTTGCGGATGTTTGCAGGGAGCCCCCCCACAGGTGAGGGACAGTCTGGGTGAAAGCACGTGGGGGCTGGCGTCATGGGCTGATGGGAGGCAGGAGTCGATTCTCAGCAGTGAAGGAGAGATGTTAGATAGGGTGGGGAGAGGCCACAAAGGGCCTTGAAAGTGAAGACAAGCAGCTGATGTCTAATGCACAGAGACGAGCGAGCCAGTGATGGGATGCAGAGAGGGTGGCGTGGTCAGAGCCGCGGGCTAGGAGAACCAGCTTTCGAGCAGCACACCGAATGGATCTGAGCGGGGCAAGATTGCATTTGCCAAGACCAGAGAGAAGGATGTTGCAGTAACTGAGATACAAGATGGTGAGAGTTTTAGCTGTGTGGATGGATGGGAAAGGCCGTATCTTAGAGACGTTCTGCAGAAAGAATCTACGAGATTTAGACATAGCCTGGGTGTGAGGACCTAGGGAGAGCTCTGACACCCAGGTTATGGGCCTGGCAGGATGGTTGTGTTGGCGACAGTGATCAAGAAAAGAGGTAGCAGGGAAGGCGGTTAGGACTCTGTTTTAGCCACGCCGAGCTTGAGCTGATGGCTTGAGCAGACATCCGTGAGGAAATGTCAGAGACAGGCCGAGGAACTAGTCTGGAGAACCCAAGGCTGGAGCACAGAAGTAGAGCTGTGAATCCTCAGCGTAGTAGTGGTAATTGAAGTCGTGTTGTGGATGAGATTACCCAGAGATAAGGTGGAGGGGATCAAGGACAGAGCCCTATGGAGCCCCCACAGAAAGCTGGAGGGCAGATGAAGAGGATCTGCTGAAGGGGGCCATTAGTGAGGCAGGAGGATAACTGGGAGAAGACAATCACACAAGCCAAGGGAGGACAAGAGTTCACGAACTGCCCCAGGATAACCACATTCGTGTTAGCAGGCAAAGCACCCCCATGAAGACAAGGCCTAAAGAACAGAAGAGAGTCACTTTCTGAGGTCACAGATCTGATGGATTCAAACATGGCAGAGGTCAGCTAAGAAGCCAGCTGGTGCAAGCCAGCATAGGCACTTGGACTGCAATGGCACGGCTCCAATTTACACCAGCCGCAGATCTGGCCCAGTGTGTACTTGGATCAGGAGAATGGGTTTCCTTCTCCATGTCCTGATGTAGCAGAGCCATGAACGTGGGGTGGGGGACGTGCACACAAAGTCACAGTAAGGTAGCATCTCCCTGAAGAAACAAAACAGATCCTGCATCAGGAGGGATTTAATGAAGGAAGTACTTGAGGATTCAGACCCTGATTCTGCAGGCAGCTCTGTGCGCGGGGGCAGCGGGGGATATGTGCAGGGGCCCCTGCATGGAGCTGCTCACAGAAACTGCCCAAAGTCATACCCTGCCAAGGCTGTTTCCGCAGCGCTGTGCCCGAGGCTGCACAGAGATGGGCAGGGCTGGCTATTCCTTCCTCAAGGGGCTGAGTGTTGTTTTGAACTCTGTGCACTGCTGAGCATGAACCTGCCCGCCTGGCCTGGATCAGGCAGGGAAGCCGTATTCACGGCAAGTGAGCTATCGCTGCAGAGAAAGGGAATCGCTTCACCTTTTCTTTACAGTTTTTATTCCATGGCAATTCCCAGGTGTAGGGGACAGATTGCGGAAGCTTGGCGAGGAGCTCAGTGGCGGACTGAGTATGTGACTGAATGCGAGCGGAAGATGCAGGCTGTGTAGTTGAAGGCCATGCAATGAACTTTGTTCGGCAGACCCTGCCAAAACGTAGTTTAGTAGAGTTCAGCATGTTTTTGTCTGTAAACAAGTTAGCTTATATAATGAGTACAATTTATGAATGAAATGAATGTAGCCAGCTGTTGACCCGATGTAACCTTGAGATAAGCGCGGGGGGATATAGCATTGCAGCGGACTCCCTTCAGTGGAGTCCTGCCTGGCCAGCTGTCCCGGATGGTCAGAATCCCCCGCAGCCCCTCCGCGCGCCTCAGGGACTCCCCGCGCTGCTTGGAGTGTAAGTTCTTCCTTCAGTAAAGCCTTGCTTTTTACTCTCAGGCACTGAGTGTCATTCTTTCGCTGGTATCACGGCCCCCCTTGCGGGCACACCAGGCCAGTGTTTCCTGTTGGTTACCGATCAGCCGGTTTCAAGGCCCAGACGCAGCCTCCTGCAGCTGGTCACTAACTGCGTGGAGCTGCTCTCCCTGTCAGGCACTACTGGTCCACTACTAGCCACGTAGGGCTTTTAACCTAGGGCTCACAGCTGTTCAGAAACGCTGACTAACTGTCACTACAGCAGCCTTATGCGGGGAAACAGGCACAAAGAACGTAAGTGATTTACTTAAGGTTACAAACAAGGCAGTAGGTGTCTTCTGACGCCCTATTCCCTGCTCTAACTGCTAGGCAGCACTGCTCCCAGAGTCAGGACTCCAACCCAGGTGTCCTGACTCCCAGCCCCCTGGTTCTCACCACTACATCACACTCCTTTCCCCAAACCACTGATAGAACTCAGGCATCCTGACTCCCAGACCCCTGCTCTAACCAGTACACCACACTTTCTCCACGGACAAGTCTGTCTTTATATGCACATGCAAGGGGCCATGTTAACGTTACTGTAGGAACGATCAGATTTCTTATTCTGCTGTGGCTGATGAATGTTTGTAAAGTGCCTTGAAGATAAAAAAGCTGGAGAGTTTGCCACCTGGCCGCCTCCCTTCTCCAAACCCACCTCTTTCACACTCCTCACAGTAGTAACCCCTCACCCTTGGAATGACAAACCTATCAAAAATCAATGATTGCAAGATGCACTAATACAATGCAGCACTTTCAAAAACACCCACCTCAAGTCTCCATGTGACACCACCAGTCAGGAATCGGGGCCAGCTGATGGGCAAGCTAACGAGCACAGCTGGCCTGTATCAGCTGCCTGATTGGCTACACTGCTTGGTGAGAGGGTGAGCGGTGGACTGGTGATTCTGTGGCTGCTCAAAGCATTTTCCCATGGCTGTGATAGCTCTTGTGTCTACTTGTTCCCAGTCTTGCTTTGCTCCAGGTAACCAGGTTCTGACCCTCAGCTCTGATTCCTGACCTCTGACTCCAGTTCCTGGCTACCGACTCCTGCTCTGACCATTTGGCATGATTGCCCATATCCTGGTCTGTGAGCTCTCTCCTCTCCATCTACTTGTTCTATCCGATCTAACTCAGCCCTTATGGTGCCAGGGCAGGGCCTATCACCTTTCTCTCTCTAATGCCTCATGCTCATCTCTGGTGCTCTATAACAAAGTTACATGGCTGCACAGTAGCAATATAACAAAGGTTTAATAATCAGTAAATGTTACTATTTAAATTTCTGATAGTAACAATAAGATCACGCGTGTTTTTCACTGGATTACTCTTCAAGTGGGGAAAAAAAGGAAAACCATGAATGATCAAAGTAAATGTTCTGTGGGTGAAATTCAAGGCCTGGCCAACACCTACATCCCCCATAAGTCCTATAGTTCTGGATGTGAGTGGTGTGTAAGTGGAACGTGCCCTTGTGATGGAATTTCACCCTGTGTGGTCACATGAGAATAAATGTCTCATTGCACAACGCCAGGTTCATATTCATGGGAAAAGGGAAATATGGGAGTCAATAAATAGCCACCAGGCATTTATAGCTGGACCATGCACAGCCCCCGAGATGGTCACCAGGTGGCGCTAAGAGCACACGCACGATGGATGGTGCACACCTGGGAGGAGCGGGTGTCTGTCACAGCTGGAAGGGCAATCAGGTGGATTTAGGTGCCTTAGAAATAATTCTCATGATTTTCCCCACCCTGAAGGGTTTGCAGCCCAAACATGACAGCCTTGGGCCCCAACCCTGCCAGCCCACGCATGGAGTTGTGCATCCCACTGATGGGAGTGCGGGTGCCTAAGTGCTTGCAGGACTGGAGCTTTAAGCCGATGCTGGGTTAACCTGTTTATTTCATCGTCCAAGTGGAACGTGGCGCAGAAAGCAGTGAGAGGTGGGAGAATGCCTGATGATCATCCAAGGAGAGGATTTAAATCATCAACACAAGCATCGCTGCTTTTTAAATTAAAGTCAGAGTATCCAGTAAGAAATACCTGATCCTAACAAACTCCCAATAGTCTGGCCTCCCTGGGAATAGTTCACCACTTCCCGCCATGAGCACTCTCTCTTCCCCATCTGCCCCTCCCTGCTGGGGTCAGGTACTAATTTGGGCTTCGACCCCACAACTGGGCCCACGTAGGCAGCTCTCCATGGGCCCCACTGGGCTCGGCCCAGGCACAGGGCTTTAGTTGTCAGAACAGGATTCAGGATCAGGGGCTCGGATTATAAAATCAGCAGGAGGGGGGCATCTCAGTACACAGCCAAGGAGCTGGATGGGGAGTAATCATTAATAACAGGATCACGCCAATTAGATGCTGAAAATTCTTCTAGTCTGACTAAGGGTATGTCTACACTTAAACTGCTCCAGCGGCAGTGTAGACATGACCTGTGCCAACAGGAGGGGTTCTTCTGCTGGCGCAAATAATCCACCTCCCCGAGAGGCGGTAGCCAGGCTGACAGAAGAATTCCGTCGATGTAGCGCTGCCTACACTGGGCATTAGGCAGCAGAGCTGCGTCTCTTAGGGGTGTGGACTTTTCACACTCCTGAGAGTCGGAGCTGTGAAGATGGAACTTCCCAGTGTAGACCAGTGCGAAACCAGAGCTGGTCAGTAACTGCAGGCAGGGAATGTGTGGGAGGGTTCTGGGTTTTTCTAACTTGACTGCATTGCTTTAACAGCATGCACACATTCACCTGAGCAGCTGCCAGGTAAACTGAACCACCTGTGCCATCTCAGACTGGCCTTTGTTCACCTGTGAGCCCACATCTGCGTGGGACCCACATTCAGTACAGCCGAAAGGTGGTGAACTGAGACCTAAACGGATCATACAAAACCTCATTGTCTTCACTACTGTTTTCTCCCTCCTGTTTGTTTGCCTTGTCCCCCGGCTGCATCGTGTCACTGTCTGTTTGGTTGGTGCCCTGGAGCTGCATGGAGCTCTGTGTGGGTGCCGGCTCTACCCGCTCCATTCCAGCTACATGACTGAAGCATTAAATGGTAAGTTCTCTGCGGCTGAGACTGTCTTGATACTGCCTTGTCTGTGCAGCACCCAGCAGCCTTGTTCTGCATTGGTTGGTGCTCCAGGTGCTTCTGTAGCACAAATAATGATAATAATATGGCCCACTGCACCTGCTCAATAAGGTCCTGCCCCAGCTGCTACAGAAGCCAATGGCAAAGCTCCAGGATTGGGCCCTGCGACATTTCCAAATGTTCAAAGCTAAGCTCAGAGTAGGGCAGGAACAGCTCTTTAAAGTGTGAAAAACAGCTCCTCCCCCCAGCCAGATAACTTGGCAAAAAGAGATTTAAAACTTACCCAAAAAGGTCCTGCCTGGGCTGAGCAGGGGAGATTTCTGCCCAAAGGTGGCACAAAATGCCTGCACGCTTGGTACTCTAGCATCATTCCCACAGTGCCCCTGTGGCTGGCCAGAGACAGGCCCTAAGCCTGCAGACGCTAACGCATGTGTGTGCAGGGTTGGGGCCTTGATGTGGAACTAGGGCAATTAGAGCTGTGCACATTTTTTTTTTCATTTAAACTATATTTGGGGGGACAAAAAATGGCTTTTTGACCAAAATGAAAATTTTCCACAAAAGCCTTAGTTCTGGTAGAATTTCTCCAGTTCTCTGACAACACCAATAAAACATTTTTTGATAAAAATTTCTCAGTTTTTGGTAAAAGTTTTGGGGTTTTAAAAAACAGAAAATTGTTACCAGGAACATTTACCAACAATGGTTTTAAAAAAACAAATTGTCAGGGTTTTTTTTTTTATGTAAAACAATAAATGTTCATATGACATTTGTGTAAAAACACTTAAAAAAGTCCCACAATAAATAATTATTTCCCAACCTGACCTAATAGCCATAAGCCATGCCCGGGGCGTTAGGAGCTGTATGCAACTCTGGCCTTGTGCCCTTGCTCATCTAACAGTGCCCCTGTCCCACCAATTCTCACTCGGGCATGGCTTATTGTGTAGACTGGGGTGTCTCACCCATTTTACATTAAAATTGTTTTTTT